TTTTTTTTTTTTTTTTTCATAGGAGGGTGTGTATTTGGGAATAGATGTTCATTATTGAGATTTCCTCTTGATGTATTTTTCCTGTGACTAATATGAAATGTCCTTCTTTGTATTTTTAGATTGAGGTCTATTCTGTTAGATATTAGGATGGCTACACCAGCTTGTGTCTTAGGTCCATTTGATTGGATAATTTTTTCTCAACCCTCTATTCTGAGGTAATGTCTATCTTTGAGGTTAAACTATGTTACTTACATGCAGCAGAAGGATGGATATTGTTTTCTTTTGTTTTTGTTTTTGTTTATTTTTTTTTTTCGAGACAGGGTTTCTCTGTAGCTTTGGAGCCTGTCCTGGAACTCTCTCTTGTAGACCTGGTTAGCCTCAAACTCACAGAGATCTGCCTTCCTCTGCCTTCCAAGTGTTTGGATTAAAGGCGTTGATTCATATCCAATATGTTAGCCTGTGTCTTTTTATAGGTAAATTGAGTCCATTTATATTAAGGTATATCGATGGCCAGTGATTGCTAGTTCCTGTTAATTTAGTTTTTGAAGTTGGTTATGTTATTGTGTGTATTTTCCTCTTTGGGATTTGCTGCTGTGAGATAATTCATTCTCTGTGTTTTTGTGGATGTAGCTAACTTCCTTGGGTCCGAGATTTTATTCTAGTACTTTGTGTAGGACTGGGTTTATGGCTAGGTATTGGTTAAATGGTTCTGTCATGGAATATCTTGTTTTGTTCGTCTATGTTGACTGAAAGTTTTGCTGGGTATAGCAATCTCAACTGGCATCCATGGTCTCTTAATGTCTGCATAATGCTTGAGCAGGACCTTCTGACTTTGTTTCCATTGAGAAGTCTGGTGTAATTCTGATAGGTCTGCATTTATATGTTACTTAACCATTTTCCTTAATGTCTTTTCTTTATTCTGTATGTTTAATGTTTTGATTATTATGTGGTAAGGTGACTTTTTTTTTTATTGATCCAGTCTATTTGGTGTTCTATAAGCTTCGGGTATCTTCCTATGCATGTCTTTTTTTTTAGGTTGAGAAAGTTTTCTTCCATGATGTTGTTGAATTTTTTTTCTGTGCTTTTGAGTTGGATTTCTTCTCCTTCTTCTATCCCTATTATTCTTAGGTTTGGTCCTTTCATAGTGTCCTATATTTCCTGCATATTTTGTGTTTAGCTTTCGCTAGATTTAATGGCTTCTTTGACAGATGAGTCTATTTCCTCTATTGTATTTTCAGCACTTGAGAGTCTCTCTTACATCTCTTTTGTGGTTCCTGATCAATTTTCCATGTTTTTCATTTCCAGAATTTCCTTGGTTTGTGTTTTCTTTATTGTCTCTATTTTGGATTTCAAGTCTTGAATTATTTCTTTCATTTGTTTGATCGCTTTTTTCTTGGTTTTCTTTAAGGGAGTTGTTGTTTTCTTCCAAATTTTTGTTTGTCTTTTCCTTCATTTATTTGAGGGAATTTTTCATTTCCTCTTTAAGCTCCTCAAACATTCTCTTAAAGTTAATTTTTAGGTCATTTTCTTCTGCTTCATCTATATTGGGGTGTTCAAGTCTTGCTATTGTAGGGCTATAGTTTTTGTTGGTGTCTTGTTGCTCTATGTGGTGTTGAGTGTGTTCTTATGTTGTCTACCCATCTTTTCCTCTGATTGGTGTAGTTGGGGCTGTATCTCTGGGGTGATCACAATTCTTACTTCACAAAGGAAATCTGATATGAAAGTGAAACCCATTAATTCAACCCAATGTAATATTACTCGGTAAAAATTGACTATGGTCTGCTTAAAGATGGTGAGTGTGGTGTTGACTATTGGACCAAATGGCCAGTAGTCTACCATGGAACTATATATCTTAGCCCTTAAAGATTTAAAAAATTTATTCTTTGTATACATCATACATTTATAAAATGTATTTTTATCATATCTATCTACATCCCTCCCTCCAGTTTTCTCAATTTGCCCCATCCTGGTTCCTTGTGAACATCATGTCCTCTTTTTATTATTGTAACCAATAATCCCTCAAGTCCAATTAGTGCTGCCCATATTTTCATGGGTGTGGGGCTATCTACTCAGGCACAAAGAACCTACCAGCAGCCATGTTCCCAAAAGAGAGCAACACACACTCTCTCTCTCAGAAACCATCTACTGTCAATAGTTCCTTCACTAGGGGTGAAGCTTCATTTCCCATCAACCATTCATGCTAGAATCAGACTGGCTTGATCTTGTGAAGGTCCTGTGCCAGTAATCATGGCTGCTGTGAGATGGTGAGTAAGTAGCTGTGCCATGTCTGGAAGGCAGCACATACTATAGGGCTTACTGAAGATTTCACTATGGATGACAGGAAGGAATATAGAGCCATGTTCACATATACCTAAGTGCTGCATGATGAAAACATATTTTTGATCACTTTTTAATAATTTAGAGCTTTTTATATTTTGTTCATTTTTAGTGTTTTGCACCAAAGAACTACTCATTTTATATACTTTTTGGTTTCATTTTCTCTTGGAAGTAGGATCTTATGTAGCCCAGGCTGGCCTTGAGCTTGCAGTATATCCACAGATGGCCTTGAAATCCTAATTCTCTTGCCTCTGGCTTCCCTGTGCTGGTAAGTATGTTCTACTACTCCCAGGTTTTAAATGATTTTTACAGGATAAAAGTTTCTGTAAAAAGTTTCCTGTTAATTTCTTTGAAACTGTAAGTGACAGCTCCTAAAAGAACAAATTCATCAGTGTTTTCAAAATTCACATTAAAATATGTAAAAATATTGCTTTCATCAATTTTCAATTAAGATGTGATTATTATGCAGACTTTTCTACATTTTCATAGCTCCCTTTTCTATTGTTGTCAGCTACTGATGCAGATGTGAGGAATGAAAGTCTCTCGTCTGTGCAGCAGCTTGGCATTGACGCGGCTGTCAGGTATGTGGGGAGGCGTCTCTCCTGTGCGCCCCTGGATTTCATCTACCTGATGTGTGCTCAATAATATTTAACAACCAACTATTTTGTAGCCTTTAAATGCAGAGTCTCCCACTCAGAAAATAATAACGTTATCTTTGAGGATATTGGCACATGATTAAATTACCTCTGGCTGTAAATCAGTTACAGCTCATTACTATTCCAAAAGCTAATTAGTGTGTTCCTCTATGACTATCAGTTGTTTTCCACCAAAAAAAAAATAACGTGGCAAAATCAAAATGCTATGGCACAGTTATACATCTTTTAAAACACGGTTTGTTCTAGTTGTCAGGTCCCGGTGAAGACAAACATACTTAAGGACCGACTGAGAAGTTCAAATGAGTAAACCAAAACTGTCAGTTTGAGTTTTTAGAACTCATGAATTAATTTTCAAAAGAAGTGAGTACAGTACATCATGAACTAGATAATAACATCCTTTTCTTTTGTTCTAAACAAACCTCATTTAATACGAGGTTCTTAACTATCGCATTGTAATTAGAGGGCCATTATTTGAATCATATTTAGGAAGTTACTTATGAGATTTATTAAATACTTGAGACTTATATAAATGCCCATTGTGATGAAAATCACGACGTGGATTCTGGATCATCCACTTCTACCAGGGTGACTGTTTTGATTATATTATGTGACTCCATATACATGTTTTAATAAAAGTATACTGTACTGCTCCATTTCCAATGAATTGAAACCTATAGATTATATAAGCAGCTTGGTCACATATTTTAATTCAATTTAGTTTCTTATTCATAGAAAGTAAATGGAAAATAATGCACAGTGCAGAGTTTGGCTAGACTGTGGTATAGTGCAGCTACCGTCCTGTGGAGTCATTGAGATAACAGCAGCAACAAAAACAATAAATGCACTACACTGTTACCACTAAGAAGGAGAGTTCTGAAAATACAGACCAAGTAAGGTCTTAGGAAGCTGGAAATCAAACAAACAACATACCCATTTAGTGAATCTAAAATATAGGAACTTAGATAAGACTGAATTAGTTTTAGCTAATTATAAACTGCTGTTTGACCCATGTAAACACCAAGACATTTCAAGTTATGTGATAGTACTGTCCTAATCTTAACCCAAAATGTCCAAAGCCCTCTGGTATCCAGTATTGGTAGATGACCTCCACAGGAACTTCTTGACTTAACATCCTATAAACCTAATCTCAGGAATCTGTGTTTTGGATTAATTTCCAAAAAACTTCTTACATGGTTCTCATCCGTAGTCTGCTGCCATTTTGTTTTCTCATTTCTGTGTTACCACCCTAGAATGGTAACAGCCAATGCTGCTGATCGTGTTGTAACAGTCAGGAGGGAATACTGAGTGCCTTGTCTAATGTCGTCACCCTAGAAGTAACATCTTAAACTTCAGACTTTGAGGTCTCAAGTGAAATACATTTTGATGGATGTCTAAAGATGAATGTGGGGTGAAGATCCTGATAGTTTTCATTCTGTGTCTTTTGGGGGTATCTTTTACATAGGTATGGCAAGTTTCTCAACTTGTTAAAAGATGGTGCAGAAAATGATCTTGCCTTGGTCTTAAAGCACTGTGAGAGATTCCTGAAACAACAGCAGTCACCAGTAACTTCTTCTCTTCATATCCTTTTTGAATGGATTTATGCAGAATCAAATTATCTTCCTGTACTTCCCATAGGTTTTTCTAAGGATGTGTTAACATATCTGTAATAAGTAATAGCTGCTATTTGATTTCTTGTTACAGTTTATTCTTACAGGATTTTAATCTGTGTTTTGAACATTCGTTTTTATAAATTGACTTATGATCCTTAGACTCAGTTGTACTCGTGGAATCTTAAAACTGTGTAAAGTGATTTACTATATACATGCAATTAATATCTCTTTCCAAATAAAAATCCTAACAGTGAGTATTTATGCAATTGTGTATGTCCTAAGATAACGTGGAAGCTCCTTAACTGTTGTGCAGTGCGCCTGCAAGGGCGCTACACAGGCCATGACTGGTTTGTGTCTTCGCTGTTCATCATAATGCTGGGGGATAAAGAGAAGACATTCCAGTTTCTTCAGCATTTCTCCAGGCTTCTGACCTCTGCTTTCCTTTGGGTGCCAAGGCTGCATATTTCTGTAAGACATAAAAATTTGTTTTTTAAAGAGAGTTGAACTTAAACACCATATTTAACTTTACTAGGGTATAATCTTATATATACACTGTGTCCTAATAATTCTTATTCACTTTCCTACCTGAATGATATTACTATAACTTGTATCAAATCTGTTTTTGACAGTTTCATACATATATACAATGTATTATGATTACTCTCGACTCATCTCTTATCTCCTTCCACCCTGTCAGCTTACCCCTTCCTTCCTTCAGGTTCCTTTCCCATATTCATAGACTTTTGTTTTGTTTTGTTTTGTTTTGACATACTGGCTTAGGTAGGGACATCTGTGTGACCATGGGTTTGAAGTTATCCATTGCTCACCTGTAGGTATACAATTGGAGAAATGACTGTCCTTCCCCTAAAATTCATTAGTAGTCAGTAGTTCAGCCAGAACAGGTAGTGCCCCGTAAGCCCTTTCCTGACCGCTGATTGACTTTTGATGGGCCTGGTGTTGTAGTGACCTAGTGAAGACCATCACAGTTTCTGTGAGATGTTGATAGCAGTGACGGTGTCATGCACAGAAAATAGCGTTTTACAGCCACTGTCTCTGTTTCTGGCTCTTACACTTTTTAAGCCTTGTGTTCTGTGATACGGTCTGAACTTTAGAGAGGGTAGAATAAATATCCTCTTAGGGTTAACCTCTCAGCCATCACTTATTCTCTGTGTGGTAAGTAACTATAAAGCTCTCTATTCACCGTATATTGCAAAGAAGAGATTCTCAGCTTAAGTCTGAGATACTATTAAAAATAGTATTTTTCTGTGGCTATAAGCATAAATATTTATAAATCAGTTTGACACTATACTCAATTTAGCTAAACAACAGTAGTAAATTCCTCCCCAGGATAGTACCAGGCTTGAATATCCTCAAGTAGAGCGGGCCTTGAACACAATCAGAGTGGTTGACTACCCTTATAACAGCTGTGCCACTGTAGCACCAGTGGGCATATCTTGCTGGCAGGGTAGGATCAGGTTTTGTCAAGTTCCTGTATGGGTAAGTCTAGATGCCTCTTAGCCTGCAGCAGCTCACGTAGCGCTTTCCCAGAATATGGAAAGCAACCTCCTCGAGCTTGTTTATATTGGTTCTATTGAATTTTATGCCTTGAATTTCAACTATGTTGTTCTGATTTGGAACCATAACTATGGGATTGTAACATTTTGAAAGAACATACTGTCTTGTTTTTCATCTTGTTTGTGTTTTTGCAATGAGACCTATGCATCTGGAGTTAAGGCACTGGTTGTATATATGAGTTTCTGGCTCACCCATGGGGCTAGGCATTTACTCTGTATTGACTGTTATTCTGACTTGGAATGTTTTGGATCAGCTAGGAAATACTAACAGCTTAGTCTTGTAGCCACATGGTGCCCATGACTTGTATTGTATGTAAATGATTAGTAATTGTATGGAATTACTAATGTGATTCCCATTCATCCAGGGAAAAGCATAGCTTCAACTTCATTAGCAGGTGAATAGAATCAGTAAGTGTCTTGATTCAACAAGCTCAAGGTACCAGTAGGTAAGTCTGTAAAGCCCCTTCATGTGTGGCTAGCATATGCTGCAATTCAAGTCTTTAGATGGTGACGAATGCCAGAGAGATGGAGCTGAGGGACAGCTGATGGGTTCAGAGAGTTTTTGATTGTTCCTGCGGAGCTAGCAGGTAGTTGATGTAGGTCTACAGATGATGAGATTGGAATGCCCTAGGGAGAGGAAGGGGAAGGCTCAGTTGGCAGTGTGAGCAGAAGAGTTCCTGGGTAGGTAGTGTGACCAAAGGAGGAAGAGTGAGTCCTTACCAATAATGAGTGGGGGTTGTGGAGTTTCCATCTGTGGAGATCAAGATCCTCCATAGGTAGAGGAGGGCTCGGCTGTAGTTCAGAGTTGGAGGCCTATAATTGGGATGAGCCCACAGAGCCCTTGAATGGCCTGCATGCTTTTTGATGGGTTCTCTTTGAAAATATAAACTTGATTTTTTCTCTTGAATGTTATCTTACTTGATGCTAATGGACTGAGAGATACTTAATCATAGAAGCATTTTCATGAAAGAGAAATGAGACAATAAGCTAGAAGTCTAAAATTAAAGTTACCGTACATTGTTTAGTGATAAATAAGGGATATAAAGGTTTTTGAATATGTTTTAGTGTTGCTTTGTAAGATACTCTGGATGCTTAGGCTATAGTATAAGAAAGGCATTTACTATAGAAATTGTAATCCTGTTTTATAGAAGAGAAAACCTATATGTATACATTTTAGAAATTCAGTTGTTCACAAACCAAAACAGGGATATGAATATAGGAAAGGGACTTGAAGGGAAATAGGACTGACGGCTATGAGCGGAGATAGGAAAGGCTATATATATGATATAAAGTGAGAGGGACACATGCACAGTACACATAACACTGACAAAAATATTTAATAAAAATCATAATCTAAAAATTGGCAACCTGTTCAGCCAATGTCACCTTTGTTCTCATTGCTCTGTTCTAGTTTTTACTTTTTCCCATAATGTTCATCATCTGCTAATCCGTTATTTGCTTCAACTGATCCCTTATCTAGATTCTTTGTTATTAGTTCTGGAAAATGTTTCTATTTTATTCACTGATACAACCCCCATTGTACATAATCTATAGCTTCTTTACTCCATAAACATGTTGTATGTGAATTAATATTTAAATTTAATATTTAAATATTTAAATTGGAATATGTATTACTCTAGAAAAAAAAGTGTTTGATTTCCAGCCTTCTTAAGAATGTTATAGCCAGATTTGGTGATACAGGCCATTAATCCCAGCACTTTGAAGACAGGGGCAGATGGATCTCTATGAGTTCAAGGCCAGCCTGATCCACAAAGCAAGTTCCAGAACAGCCAGGGCTACACAGAGGATCCCTATTTCAATCCCCATGAAAGAAGGAATTGATATAAGCAAATTAGATCAAAAAAGTTTTTATAAATCTAACATAAGCAAAACAAGCAATAACTGATAATGAAAACAGTAACAAGGTCTCACAATTTTATAAACTAGTTATACTATTTTTATAACTAGTTTTAAAAATATTTTATAACTAATTATACTAGTTATTAGTTTACAGTAATTTAAACATTTTTTAGACTAGAAGAATTTTTTTAATCTTCAGGTATTATAAAAAAGTTAAATCATACTACAATAATTCTTAGGGAATTTCTTAGGAAATCAAGCTAAATTATGTTTGCTGTCTCTTGGTAAAAGTTATAAAAGGATAAAACATCAGTTGAAAAAAGAAATATTAACTTATATGTATTTACAACAGAACTCCACTGATGTTAAACCAACCTAAAGCAGTACTCAGATGACTGGTACAGTCCAGCAGGAGGGTGGTGGATACTGGCTGTCTAGTATAACTCTACTCAGATGATTGGTACCGTCTAGCAGGAAAGTAGTGGACATGCGCTGTCTAGTAAAACTCTACTCAGATGAAGTGGTACAGTCCAGCAGGAGGGTAGTGGACTGGCTGTCTAGTATAACTCTACTCAGATGAAGTGGTACAGTCCAGCAGGAGGGTGGTGGGTAGCTGTGCTATAGTATAACTGGACATGGGCTTCATTTGTTCCTATTAAATACTTAGTGTTGAAAAAAATTTACAGTGTTAAATGGGATTTAAACGCATCTACAATAACAGGCATATTGTGAAAATGTACCCATAACCCGTTTGTGGGCCAAATGGAAAAATGAGCCATACAAAACACATTTTCTTATATCTGAATCTCAATATTCTATACATTTGAAGATTCCATTTCCTGTTCTCCTGAAAGGAGAAACATTTGTTTTATGGTATTATAATTTCAAAGTTTTGAGTATTCCTTAAATTTTCTCTGTATTCCTTTCCATTTTGTGCAAATTAACAAACAGTATTGCTGTAAAGCTTGGCTGATTCTCTGCCTGTAGAGACTCAGATAAGGAGTATGAACTGCATTGGATCAGTCTGTGTTGGATTGGAAAATTTCAAATCTTTTTAATACAGTCTTTCTCTTTACTTTCTACTGCAACACACAACTCAGCTTTTCATAGTTTGAGGAATAAAATGATTCACCAGAATAACTTAAGATGAAAGTCGAAAACTAAGACTATTCTGCTCCATTTTTAAGTGTATATCTTTTAACCATGGGCATATAATATTCTAAAGTTACTTTATAAGATTTTTGTTTCACATCTTATCATATGCTAGTATCTTATAAGCCACTGGTTTACTGATTCTATTTGTTTAAATCTGCCTGGTTTTTATACTTATATGACCTTGAATGCCATTAGTCCTTGCATTCTCTGAATTTGAAAATGTTGCTATTATTTTGGGGTGTCACAGTTGAGCAAAATGTACAAATTATGAAAGTATAAATTGTAGTTTGATGGCTCACAGAACCTTTTTTGTTTTCATATGAACCATCTGTTGTTATTGTTCTGGCTTTATGAATATCATCTACTATAGATTAGAATGATGATATGCAAATAACAGACAAGCAAGACGTTAATTATAAGTGAATTCACTGTGATAACAAGTGCAGTCGTTAGAATCTTGTTATTGAGTCAGTATTACATATGGCAAGTTTGGTATTCAGAGCTGGTTGGTTATCAAAAGTGTGACTTAAGGCTCTCCTGCCAGTGTATGATTTATGAGAATAGAAGAACTCTTGTCTTGTCTTTGGGACCCTATTACAGTATAATGGCTTGTTTCCTTTGACAGCGTAATTAATGTCTACTGTCTTTATCTCTTCATAGACTTGTTCTTAAGGTATTTCTGCCACAGCATAGAACAATGCTGTTTGAAAATTAGGTCCAGAATATTTTATCCTTAAACTGCCTCAGTGCATATTGTAGACCGTTAGTAAGTTCACATTGAACATATAAACTTGTAAGTTAACCTTTGCTTTTTATGTTTGTTAGACTTATTCATTATATAAATAGTGAGTCACATTTTGTGTTTGACAAGCGGTAAATCAATGACTATTAATTCATACTCTGCATTCTATTGAATTACCTAATGGAAAGTATTCTCCTGTTCTCAATATAAAAACCACCTATAATGTCCACTTAATGTGCTATGTCTTCATCAATATTTAAGCATTTTCGTGTGCAATATCTCTTAGAGAACCTGCCAGAAAGCACACAGAATTTACACTGATTTATTCCTGCAACTATAAATTTCTGTAATTTGAAAAAATAATAAATCATTTGTGATGAGTGGCAAAAAGGGAAAAATCACTGTTAAAGCTGCCTCGTGAGTTCAGAAACGTCATTACCTAATAAACCTAACTAAATCCCTCTACCAGAGCGACAAGCCCAAAATTGTGTCCACATATTTAACCCTTATGTAATTTTATGAGTTTTATTAGTTTTATCTAAAAGCAAGAAGTTTTATTTTTAAAAATTTAGATACAATTTTTGGGAAAAAAGTTAAAATATAAGGTAAAGTTAAGACATAAAATTACTTTTGGCTAGCTCTTAATTATGTAGTCTCAGGGCTAGGTGTCAACTTTGCATGATCTAATTGCTATTAAAATAGTTTTCTTGACACAATTACATCTTTGAGTTTTTTGTCTTTTCTTATAAGTGGTGATTCTGTGTTGATATTGAATTTATAGTCGTAACAGTAAAATATTCTCTATCATTAATAATCATAAATTTCACCTAAGAACTATTTTTTTAATCAAAACCAAGAATTAAACTTTGCTCCTCATGTCTATTAGGTCAGAGCACTGCATTACGGGATAGTCCCAACCTTCAGAGCTATATTTTTATCATGTCCACTGTATGTATGCAAATTATCATACATGATTTAGTATGTGTGTATATATGTATGTATATATGTGTATGTATAATTTCATGAAAATGGGTGATGGAAAACTTTTGAGTAAACATTATACATTTCCCCCATTAGAAGTGAGTTTAGAGTGGCATTCTCAGTTTGTGTTCTAATTAACTCAAGTCCAGATATGAGATAAAATCAACAAATGAAATGGAACTAGGCAAACATTCCTAAGCGCTGACTAGAGCTTTTTAACATGGGCTCTTAGGCAGAGACCGGCACTATTAAATATGTATGCTCAATATTACCTTGGTTGATATGTAAAATTCATTACTCACATGTTTGTTATTCATTTTTTTTCAACCCTTCTCTTCCACAGGCTTTGCAGTTTCCTGAATTACAAACTACCCTACTCTTCTGTTTTAGAAAAATATATAACCTTACCTTTATTGAGGTTTATTGCTCTACGGTGCTTAACTTTCTGACATTTGCATATTTATAATTGTTGTGGTGTAAGACACCACCATATCAATTTTGTTTTCAAATTTTTATTTTATTGAAGTCAGGTCTCAAGAATCCTTGGTTGACTTCAAACTGTGTATCTTTGGATGACCTTGAACTTCTGATACTTGTGGTTCACAGGTTTGCACCCAGCATACCTGGCTTATGTTGTGCTGGGTATCAAACTCAGGGCTTTGTGCATTTGAGGCATGCATGCAATCAACTGATCTATAGCTAACATATAAATTTGAAAGGAGCAAACCATGGCTTAAGCAGAAAGACTCAGCTAAGTACATGCTTGATTGTTATAAACCATCCGTGTATTTACTGTTTTCCACTTCTCTTTGATGCAGAGGTACCTTCCTGTTGACACCGTCGAAACTGGCATCCATCCCATATATTTCTGCAGCACTCACTACATTGAAATGCTGCTGAAGGCTGAGGTGCCTCTTGTGTTTTCAGCTTTCCACATGTCTGGTTTTGCTCCATCACAGGTAATCTGCTGCGGAGTCCTAGTTCTTCAACGCCCAGATATCCAACTTTATAAAGAAAATTCTTTGCCCTAAAATATGATATAATATATATGTATAATATACTTATATATTAAATGTAATATATAAGTAATATAATTAGATTATATTTATTTACATATATTAATTTTCTTTTCTACTATTTTTAATTAATATGCTATTTTTGTTTTATTAAATTATCCAGTTAGTCAAAAATAAGTCTAAATTGCAGTTGTTTTTTATTTCATATTATTTATATTATATTTTTAAAAATATTTTATGAATTATTTTATAGTCAAACTGGTAAAAAATTAGCCAATTTCTCAGTAGATAATGACTACATATTGCCAAAAAGTAACCATTATCACTTTTGAAAAACTTTTTTATTCATTTCATTTTCTTTTAATCAAATTTGAAGTCAAACAAGTAAAACTATGCCAGCGTTCTTTACAGTAAGCAATAGCTTAATCGATGGTCTATTGGATCCGTTTTATACACGTGGGTAGCTTTCTTCATTGTAAACTGTGCTTTTATCCCTTTGCATTTATCTTACTCGAGAGAGCTCCCTCTTAATTAGACAATAGCGCTTCTTGACATGATATGTGCTTCTCTGCCTACCCCGATGAAAGATCACACCATTATCACATGTACCTATGTGAGGCATTCTGCTTGCTGCTTATGAAGTTATTAGCAAATTTAAACATAGTGTGAACTTCCATTCAGGTGGAATGGAAGTTTAGCCTTTAGTGTATGAAACATCTGCTTTAACACTGAATCCAAGAATTTCAACTCTGTTGGAGGAAGTTGTTTAAAAAGCACAGTATATTTATTATAATTTATAACAATTGGTTCTTTCATATCTTCTAAAAGTCTGTGCTGAGAGCACTGTTCCTGAGAGTTTCTATTTGCTGTCCTAATGTTGACTGGTAGAGTGTATACCACTTAATGCTTCTGATCGTGTTTAGTCCCTAATATATTCTTTAATTTAGAAGTGAATAACCAAAGATCATGGGAGCATTAATATCTCAGGACCTGCATTATTAATTTAATCCTTAAAACTTCATTTATCAGTTCTATATATCATGTAAGTCTGATACACCTTCATCAGTATAAACTGCATACCACCCTAGCACCCTTTGAGAGTGTGAGTCATCAGGATTGCCATGAGTTTGAGACCAGCCTGTGGGATACACAATAAGTTCTAGGCCAGTCTGGGTTAAGTGTGAGGCTCTGTCTCAGAAATAAACAAGCAATCAAAACAGAACTATAAAAGAAGCCTGTATATGACCAGTGCACTTATTTAATAAGGTATTGTTTTTGAACAGTGACATTATTCTTTTTAATAATGTAGAAAGCCTCTCAGCAGCTCTTGGGCATGAGCTAATCACTTGTCTTAAGTGCCTATCACTGCTTGCTGATTATTTACTGCTTTATTGCTAATTATAAAATATAAAAACAGGTATAAGTAACTAAATAGGTATACATGATTAAGTCATTATTAGGGTATAGATTTTGTGTTTCAAAGCTTACTCATTTTGATCTAATTAGGAGCAGCGCTTTTTGAAGCTGTGTATTTTTCAGCACAAGAGGGTTTGCTTGTTAGTGAAGGACTTGTGGGAAGGTTGCTAAATGAAATATACAGATCTCTAGAGTGAAAATAATAGGCTCAAACTTGAGCACGACGAACTAAATGTGGTTAGGAAAGTGCATTTGCTGATTGGAGTTTCTTCTAAGAGTAACTGCAGCGGGAAAGGAAACAGAAATGGAATTTACATTCTTGTTTTAAGTAAGCAGTGTAAAATCACATTCCAATTAACTTTCCAACAGTTTTATCCTTTGCTAGAAAATTTATCTTACTGTATTTTCTGCCCATTCTTGGCTTATAAGACACCATGTGTCTTTAATGGTGCATCTCTCTTCCTTGGGGGCACCATCCTGCACGGCACTGATTATTCACAGCGCTGTGTCAGGGAGCAGGCTGACTTGACTGACCCTCCTGTATAGAGTGCACGCCACTCCATTTGGCGGTTATCATCATCATCATCATCATCATCATCATCATCATCATCATCATCATCATTATCATTTGTTCCTTTACTTTCATTTTGAAACCAAGACTCCAGAAAGCTCTTTCATGTGTTATGACACAGTACTTTCTGAAACTGTAAGATTATACACCGAAATCAGATCTTCCAGAGGTGTAACAAAAATATAGTATTTGTAATCACTGTTTGTGCTTGAGGATGTGTGCGGAGCTTTCATCTAATGGCAGATAGAGGAATTCAGGAGTGATGGAGTGAATGCCTTCACTGTATTGAATCACTCAGAAACACTTCAGACAGGGTCTAAAGCAATCCTGCTGCCTCGACCTGCCAAGTGCTAAGATTTTTTCTTCATGTTACCATGCCTGGCTTTAAAACCACTTTGATTCTTCAGCTATTTTTTTCTTCTCTCTCTCTCTCTCTCTCTCTCTCTCTCTCTCTCTCTCTCTCTCTCTCTCTCTCTCTTTTTCTCTCTCTCTCTCTCTGTGTAGTGAAAACAAATACTGCAAGGCCAGAAGAGTTGCTAAAATAGTGTCTTTGAATAAAATAGTCGATCATTTAGAAATCATTCTTAGTTTTAATTCCATAGACATATGCAATCAATTATTTTGACTTGAATGTTTTTGATTCCTTTATTTTTCATGTAATTTAGATACCAGTAGAAATAATTTACTTCATATAAAATAATATTGTATTGCATGATAATGCCATTTGGCATAAGCTTAAGTGTGGTTAAATTGTTTTAGGAAAACTGTAGTACAGTTTGCACATTGAATGAGTGATGTTGCTTCTTTATGATCCTGAATGATATTTAAACATACAGATACCTAATAACGTAATTAAAAACTTAAAATTTCATTTGCCATCTGGTTAGCATTACTTAAAAAGGCACTGTGGTCATAGGATGAGATTTTTAAAAATGTGATCTTAATGACTGGAATTCAAAGGTCAGAAGTTGACATAATTAATAATATATAAGAAGCAAAAATTCAGTGATTCAGTCTGGTATGGATGACTTGTGTTTCCTCAGTAACCACACGATGATGTCAGAACCTTCTTTACCTCATAGTATGCCTGTATTACACATACAGTGTCTGAGAAATAGCCACGCTAAAATATGTTATCAGAGTGGACCCTAGTAAGAAGAGATTTGGATGAGACATCTACAGAGGGTGGTCACATGTGTGGCAGGGAGAAGAGCAGCATCTGTTGAAAAAACAGGAAGAGAAAGAAGGCTCCGAAGAAACCAGTCCAGTACCACTGTGACCTAGACTCTCCTTGAATACGATTACTTGTTTTCGCTGCTTAGTTTCCGCTTCTTTGTTATGGAAGGCCTAGCAGACAAATTAATAAATGTTAGCCATAGGAAAGCAGATCAGCATGCTAAATAAGAAGAAAAGCACCCTTTAGATTTAATACTGAAGATTTTAATGGACAAAGTGATAGAACAAAAAGAACACATCTGTCTGTATTCTTAATACTTATGTCAAGTTGAGATAGTCACCATTTCTGCTTCTTTCTCCTCTCTTAACCATAGTCATTGGAGGAGCCCAGGGCCTTGAACCTGAATCTCTCAGATCGTGCCTATGCCCAACCATGCTGTTCTCTCTGTGTGTCTTCCCTTGGGACATGTCTATCTTTTTGTGCACATTCCTCTTCCAAAAGAATACAAGGCACACTGGGTCAGAACTCACTCTGACATTCATTTGAAGTTGACTACCTTCATGATGACCTTACCCCCAAGTAAGGTCAGGTTCTGAGGTGGTGCCTTGCTGACTTTTTTTTTTTTTTTTTTTTGAGGAGAGATTGGGGTAGTTAATACATAACAATAATATACCGAATAAAGAGTTGAAAAGAAAGCCTTTTCGTAAAAGTCTCATTTTTTAATTATTCTCTGTGTTAGCTCCCAGTTCATATGCTCTTTGGTTCTGTTTATTTTAAATTGTTCTCTGATTCAGCAAGAGTCCATTTGCATATAAGATTTCACAGCCCGTCATCTGCATAATTATACACCTGTGATTACAGGTAGCATGGGGAAACAACGAACAGCTCTGAACTCAGGTAGCCTCTTAGCACTTGTGAGCAGAGAGTGACTGGCGTTTGGGAAAGAGGAGGACAGTATGTCAGAAGAAGCCATGTAGCAGTATGTGATTGAGCAGTTCAGACATCATCAGGTCCTCAGCTCCCGAATCAGGAGTCCACAAATCTTTTTACCCATGCAGCAAACAAGCAGGTTTTTAAGGCCACTAGTAGAATGCTTCTCTATTTTGATTAAATGCAAGGCTTTTTATTGGTGTCTTGTGTTACTGGTTACTACTTTTTGATAGGTAAGTGCTGCTTTTTATTCCTCTTAAATAAACTCCCCCCTCCCTTTTTTTCTTTAAGATTTGCCTGCAGTGGATAACTCAGTGTTTTTGGAATTACTTAGATTGGATTGAAATATGCCATTATATTGCTACTTGTGTTGTCCTTGGTCCTGATTATCAAGTGTATGTCTGCATAGCTGTTCTCAAGCATCTGCAGCGAGACATTCTTCAACATACCCAGACTCAAGATCTGCAAGTCTTTCTCAAGGTAAGTATGCTCATGTCTAAGTGGGCTGACGACGGAGGGGGACTTGATTGGGGGAGGGGGAGGGAAATGGGAGGTGGCAGTGGGGAAGAGACAGAAATCGTTAATAAATAAATAATTAATTAATTTAAAAAAGTTAATCACTAATTTGGGGCACTTCATCATTTTCTTAGGCATTCTTCAATTGCTGGGATAAGACACCTTAACCAAGACAATTTATAAAAAGTAGCAATTTTAATTTGGAGTTCACAGTCCCAAAAGGTTAGAGGCCATGACTATCATGGCAGGGAACATGGCAGCAGGCAGACAGGCATGGTACTGGGGCACTAGCTGAGAGCTTTCATGTTTATCCATAAGCAAGAAACAGAGAGAGCTAAGTGGAAATGAACAGTGACAAATGTCCATCAACAAGGCCACACCCCCAATCCTTCCCAAGCAGTTCTACCAACTGGGGACTAATCATTGAAATATAAGAGTCAATGCAGGTCATTCTCACCCAAACTAACACAATTATCAGATGCTTTTCTAGCCCCTCATCATCAAATCTGCTCTGAGTAGTAGATATTATTGTTTTCACTTTTGAAGTGAGGAAAGTGAGCAGGGAATTAAGTTGCTTAAAGCCTAAATTCTGTCCTACTAGAGGAGAGAAGGATCCAAAGCTTTAAGTTAGCCAGTTTATTGCTGCATCATATTTGATCAACAAATGCTCAGTTTATTTTGTTCAAAAGGTTGATAATTGTAGCATGAGGGCCTGCCATTCTGTAACATGAGGGCCAGCTTGTTGGGGTTTCTGTCCCACCTGGTACCCCACAGCTGGCAAGTCCCAAAGAAAATCATACAGAGCTCTCCATAAGTTATAAAACTAATTGGCCTATTAGCTCAGGCTACTTATTAGCTCTTGTAGCTTATATTAACCCATTGTTCTTATCTATGTTAGCCACATGGCTTGGTACCTTTCTCAGCTGGGTAGATTACATTTTGCTTCTTGGTGGTCTGGGCAGGAATGGGAGGAATGGGCTTCCTCCTTCCTAGCATTCTGTTCTCATCGTCCCACCTCTACTTCCTGTCTGGTTGACCCACCTATACTTCCTGCTTGGCCAATCAGCATTTATTTAAAATGTGATTGACAGAATACAGACAATTCTCTTACACCAGATAATTATAAATTTATTGTTCCAGAATATTTTTTCTAAATATCCCATTTTTATAAAATGTTTATATAAAATTTTTATAATAAAAATCAATAAAAAAGAGCAATAAAAATAAATAAATAAAAGGCAAAAATGTTTGCATTATTCTTTCACTGCATTCACAATAGTAGAATATCTGATAGTAACCTTAAATAAAATAACTTTGCTTACTTTCTACATTACAGTGTAATGTATTTGAAGTTTAGGCGATTAGTAGGCATGATATGTAAATACATTGCTATATGTAGTTCTTGTTGGACTTGTAAGAAATCCAGCTGTTGGTTTAATGCTGAAATCATAATTGAGTTTGACATTTTTCAGCGATTCATCTCCCCATTCATCTCACAGTCACAAAACATATTCATCCATCAAAATGTGAATGTTTTTGTAAATTAGTTTTTTTAATATTGGGTATTTGCCAGAATTAGTTTCCATTGAGTGATGTTTTTAAGATAATGCCCTTAATCACTTAACACTGCCAGCCAATCATTTCTGATTAAAACATTTTGAATTCAAAACATCTTAAACTATAAACATCACTGGAATGATAGTCTTAGAATCATTATTAAATAAAATGTTTGGCAGAAGAATACATACCGAAGGAACAATAAGACAGAGCTCCAAATAATGATTTGTGTGAGGTGATCCCGAGATTAGGCCATTTTAATAGGGATTATTCTGAAGACAACGTGGGCTCACAGGCAGTCAGGGACATTTCATCTGCTGTGGTAATGGGGTACTGGAATTTTAGGGTTTAATGTTTGTCTATATTCTTAAATCTGAATTTTCCCAGAACATAATTCTTTAAACTCCTTTGAGCTTAGTTTATTATATAAGTTTTATTACTATCTGAGATGTTTCTGTTCTTCCTTTTCCAACATGCCCCTTAGCTTCAAATTTTGACTCTTAGCTTTAAATAAATGGTCTGTCTAGGTTTGTGAAGGACTTTCAACACTTTCTCAATAAATATTTGTTGAAAAATAAGTATAAAAATCTCTTAGGTGAACAAACTAGTTTTATTTATACTGAGCCACAAACATCATTAAATTTTTGCAATGCTTCCTGCTGTCATCTCCAATGGAAGAATGTCTCTATGTGTCTTTGTTTAATGCTGGTGACTACTACAATGTCATCTTTCCCTGGACAATTGCAGTAGGGTCTAAATATGATGGCCATTTTAAAGGTGAACCTAACTTTATTGTGTGCTGGGCACAGTGCTCTCAGTTTAACCTAAAGGGTTTTAAATGGTGCAAAGGTTATCGTCTAATTCCTATTTAAAATTACTAGAATTTGAATTGAGTCTGTTAAATCCCAACTAAGACCTTGTTGGTAAGGAATTAACTTCAGCATGTGTCCTTGCGCTAACCTCACTTCAAAATTCTGTTATTTGCATTTTTCTGAGAGACTCGGAAAAGGTGTTTTTCTTGCTGGTACTGTGACTTCATTTTTGTTGTTGAACTTTCAGTGTATAGTTCTCAGAAGCCTTTTCTCTTTTGATGGGCATTTTATTCTTGCAGAATAGATTTTGGTGTAGTTTTCTTAAGAGTATGCATATGCATATATAATATTTGACCTCCATTAAGATCTATAGAAGCATCTTACTTGCAAAATATATGACTATATGTGCAAAAATTCTCACAGTTAACTATATATAGTCATATATAGCAACATGTGACTCAGACTTGCTGAAAGGGAGAAAAAACTTAATAGTATTTCTCCATAAAACAAGAAGCTACAGCTATGATAATATCCCTTATAATGACAGTTCCATCGTTTATTCCTTGGTTTGCATATCTGCTGGTACTACTTCTAAAGGGAAGTAAGTTGAACTAAAACAACTTCAAATTTTTATTTTGTAAATAAACCATATTTTATCTATAAAAGATAATGAAAGGGCAAAGTAATGGCTCAGCGTGCAACCTGAAAAGCTGAATTCAATCCCAGGAAGCACTGATAGTAGAAGGAGAGAACTGACTCCTGGCAATTGTCGTCTGTCCTCTGCATAGGTGTACACACACAGAATTGTAACTTAAGGAATAAAACGATGATGATTCAATGTGTAAAAATAAATAGAATGAGCATTTGACTGTTCTAAATGTTTCAGTTATTAAGGCACAGGTGAATTAGTGTTCAGAATACTGAGAACCTGAGATGTGTTTAATAACCCTCCAGTTATTGCCAGCTGTTCCAAGAACCTCTAGAAAACTATTTCTCTTAAATGTTGAAAATATGTGCTTCTTTTCTCAACTTAAGTTTCATGTATTGGTTGAAAGTAAGACCATGTCATGACAAAGCCTTGCTTTCCAAATGAAACTCTGTGTGAAATATGTTCTATAGAGAAAATATCAGCCCATCCATATTCATTCTAGCTTAGGCTCAAGATTTTAAATCAGACTGTTGAGAGTCTAGACTTCTTGCCTGAATTTCTAACAGCCCACTGGAGAGTTCTTGGTGATTCTGAATCGCTAAACTGAAAAGACAAGCAGAGGTGGGCTCAGATCAGACAGTGGAGAGTACCACTAGCTGTCAGCCCTGCTTCACTGTTGGATGGGGAGTTGTAGGGGTTGGATGGGGAGTTGTAGGGGGTCGGATGGATACTTGATATTCCTGTCCTCATTATATCACTAAACTGTCTGAGTCAGTAAATATCATGGATATGAACTAATGGAAGCCAAGTACTCGCTACATTTTTGTTCTTGCTTTGATTTTAGCTTTTTATTTTATTTATTTATTTTTAAGACAAGGAGTTACTACTTGGTCCTGGCTGACCAGGCTAGCCTTGAGCACTAGGATTAACGGCTTATACTTCTGTGCCTGGCTTGTTTTTTTTTTTTTTTTTTTTTTTTTTTAATATCCTTGTAGATAACAACTCAGTGTGGGCTAGATAATAGAACAGTCTTTAAGCGTGATGAATACAAACTCAGAGGCAGGTGTGGTGGTGCTTGCCCTTAATCCTAGCACTTGGGAAGCAGAGGGAGGTGGATCTCTGTGAGTTCAAGGCCAACCTGCTTTTGTGCATTCCAGGACAGACAAAGGTACACAGAGAAACCCTGTCTTGAAAAACCAAACAAAATAAAACAAAACAAAACAGAAAAACAAAACTCAGAAATTGGGGTTCAACCTGAAGACCAGAAAAGCAAAACAGCCAGCCACTGCCTCTTAACTCTATCTCAGTCCGATATGGTGATCCTGGTTCCGGGAATCTCAGAATAAGACTGTGAGTGAGAGTTGTCTCCTCCCATTTTATAATCCTTTCTAGTGCTGGGATTAAGGGTGTGCACCACTACCGCCTAGTTTCTATGCAAACTAGTGTGGCTAGTGGAATTAAAAGTGTGTTTTTGTTGCCTCATCTGCAAGACTGCCCAGTGTGGCTGTTTTACTTTTCTGATCTTCAGGCAAGCCTTATTTATTAAAATACAAATGAAATGCCACTATGACAGTCAAGTGTGTCAGCCTCACACTTTAGTGAGACGTCTTTTGAAGCTATGAGGAAGCACTCAGGCTCAGTTCTGAGACCTAGTGGTCTATATTTACTATATTTATCCCTTTATTTTATTCATTCATTATCAGTTTTCTCTTTGAGGATGCTAGGGATTTCAAACGTTTTTAATCTGAAATAGCCACTGGAAGTCTGTGAGTGGCACAATTCCAGAAAGAAAAACACCCAACAAAATTAAGTTCTTAAATTTCATAGCTAACTAGAAAATCTAAAACCATTTTCTCCTGTCAGAACATTTTGATTAGTGGATTTCTATATAATGAGTGTTAAAAAGCATCTCTGTACACATAGATTTGTTGGAATCTTTGTTTCTG